CAATTTAGCCAATAAATTTCATGATGCCACTTTTCAATTGAAACATTTTTAGCATAACTACCACCAAAACAGTAGCTATTAGTGATAGTGGTAAAATTCAAAATGCAGACATGATCACGCATATACTCACAACAAAAAGATTTTAAAAGTGTTCTAATTCTGAAGCATCACACCAGTAATGTCAGTTTTCTTCTTCACTGAGGTCAGATCTTTTAGAATGTTGTAAGTAAAGGTTTTCCCCTGACATTAAGTCCAGTCGTGTCTGACTCTGGGTGCGTGGGTGGAGCTCTAAGTCAAAGAGCCGGTGTTGTCCGTAGACACCTCCTAAGTCATGTGACCTGCATGACTGCATGGAGCGCCATTACCTTCCTGCTGGAGTGGCACCTATTGATTTACTCACATTTGCATGTTTTTGAACTGCTAGGTTAGCAGAAGTTGGATTTGAACCTGCGACCTTTCGGTCAGCAAGTTCAGCAGCTCAGCAGTTTAACCCACTGCACCACCGGGGACTCCTTAAGAATATTAATGGATCATAATTTTCCCTTCATGTCTGAGTCACCCCAAAGTTTGCTGCATCAACAAAACAAAAATCTTCCAACAACATAAACTTGTAGAAAAAAATATTTTACCTAGGTCTTAAAGAAGATGGCCTAGAGACAACAAAGAAGCTTAATTGAGAGGATAGATCACCTTATAATAATGATTCTCAATAAAGCAAATACAGTATTTGATACTGACTCACACTAGTGGCTATTTACATTTGGTGTGAGTCTATTTTAGCAAGGTAGATGTTCTTTAATATCAAGAATTATGTAGTGTGTAGGGGGGAGGTGTAACAAAATGTATGTTGCTACTGAGTTGTTAGTGCTTTTTTGCCATCTACCTTTTACAAATTAGTTTGTCAGAAAGAACATTTATGTCATGGTTGTGAGCTTTCAAGTTGTTTACCACTTATGGCAACCCTAAGGCTTCTGGTCACTTCTGACACTCCAAGTAGCCAGCTACTGGTCAAAGGACATGTAATATAATGTCAAGTTTTTAAACTTTGTGTTTTATCAAATGCGTCACAACTATACTCTTGGTTTGTTCCTGATATGATAAATAAATAAATAAATAAATAAATAACCCTAAGGCAAACCTATCGTGACATTTAAGCATGCAGTGAAAGGTAATATGCCTTAAAATATTTAGAAAACAATAATGTTCATGATTATATTATATGACACATTTGTGCTGATATGGCTACTGTCTATTTTACCGGAACAGTATTAAAGATATTTATTTATTTATCATGTCAGAAGCAAATTAAGGGTACAGTTGTAATGTATTTTAAAAACACAAAGTTTTAAAACTTGGCATTATACTAAATGCCCTTTGACCAGTAGCTGGCCACTTGGAGTTCCTCTGGTGTTGCTATAAGAAGGTCCTCCATTGTGCATGTGGCAGGTCTCACACTGCATTGTAGTAGGTGGTCTGTGATTTGCTCTTCTCCACACTCGTATGTTGTGGACTCCACTTTGTAGGTTGGCTCTGCATCTCTTGGTGCCAGAGCTCAGTCTGTTCAGCACCTTCCAAGTCGCCCAATCTCCTGTGTGCCCGGGAGGAAGTCTCTCATATGGTATCAGTCACTGATTGAGGTTCCAGGTTTTCACCTGCCGCTTTTGGACTCTCACTTGCTGAGGTGTTCCTGCAAGTATCTCTGTAGATCTTATAAAGTTATTTCTTGATTTAAGGCATTAGCATGCTCGCTGATATTTGAACATAAAATGGGATATCAGTATTAATGATAAAACAAGTGATATCTCAACCTTTTCTCCTCTAAATCAGAATCCTGGGTTATTATCCAAGATGGCTTGGCCTTCTGAGAACATCTTGCAAGGCAAAGCTTCACCATAATACTATTCGGGTGAAATATATATTAGTAGCATCAGTGCCTCTGGCACAGTGTTGTCATATGATAAAAGAATCATGCACATTATTATTTTCTAACTATATTCATGACAATTACTCTTCACTTATGGTTAATTAAGTTGTCAAGTTTGTTTTAAAGGCTTATTCCTTTTTGTTTACATTCGTAGTTATTATTCAAATTGTCTGTGCTATGTATTTTTACCCTATTTAAAAATGCAGCTGTCACCTCAAACTGGTCAGGAAAGGGTTCCCTATTTGACAATTCAATCAGATGTATTTCCATGTAAACCTTTTGCCTTCTGTGGAACTTGCTTCCAAATTAAATGTGCTTATAAATGCAGCCTTAATATGATTTTTATTTCCCTTGAGGACTTTCAGATTAACTTCTCATTAGTTGTGAATAGATTACTGGTGAATTATTAGGTTTCTTTGTGGTTTCTTAGTTCTTTTATGGGTTTGAAATGCAGGCCACCTGTATATTAAAATTCATCAGGAAGAATAGTTAGTCATTATGATTCCTTCCAATACATTTCAATTGAAATCTTGAAAGCTGGAACTATTTCTTGATTAGATATTGTACAATATGAATGTAGAAAAATGCCTTTAACACAATAACTGAGGGATATTCTAGTGCTTATATTCAGCATAAGAAGCTTTGTTAAGTTTAATGAGAGAAGGAATCACTAGAAATTCAAATGGATGAACTGAGAACAACATATTTTGAAAGAAATGCAAGCCACATGCATTTCAGTTGTGAGGAATATTTGATATTTTAAAAGAGGGTTTCTTTAAAGTTGAGGGATCTTGATGAGAAGAATTCTCAACTAATGAGAATCTTCAGTATTCAGGATTTAGCATGTACAGAATGTACACATTGCTCTTTTGGCAAACAAAACAAAAAAAGTGCTGTCGAAGGCTTTTGTGGTCAGAATCACAGGGTTGCTGTGTGTTTTCCGGGCTGTATGGCCATGTCTCAGAAGCATTCCCTCCTGATGTTTCACCCACATTTATGGCAGGCATCAGAAGTTGTGAGGTCTGTTGGAAACTAGACAAGTAGGGCTTATATATCTCTGGAATATCCAGGGTGGGAGAAAGAACTCTTGTTTGTTTGAGGCAAGTGTGAATTTTGCAATTGACCACCTTGATTAGCATTGAATGGCCTTCCAGCTTCAAAGCCTGGCTGCTTCCTGCCTGGGGGAATACTTTGACGGGAGTTGATTAGCTGGCCCTGATTGTTTCCTGTCTTGAATTCCTCTGATTTTGGAGTGTTGTTCTTTATTTACTGTCCTGATTTTAGTATTTTTAAAATGGCTCCTATTGGGGTTGTAGGTTTTTTGGGCTATAGGGCCATGGTCTAGAGGCATTCTCTCCTGACGTTTCGCCTGCATCTATGGCAAGCATCCTCAGAGGTAGTGAGGTCTGTTGGAACTAGGAAAAAGGGTTTATGTATCTGTGGAATGACCAGGGTGGGACAAAGGACTCTTGTCTGCTGGAGCTAGGTGTGAATGTTTCAACTGATCACCTTGATTAGCATATAATGGCCTGACAGTGCCTGGAGCAAACTTTTGTTGAGAGGTGATTAGATGTCCTTTTGTTTCCTCTCTGTTGTTGTGCTGTTGTAATTTTAGATGTTTTTTAATACTGGTAGCCAGATTTTGTTCATTTTCATGGTTTCCTCCTTTCTGTTGAAATTGTGCACATGCTTGTGGATTTCAATGGCTTCTCTGTGTAGTCTGACATGGTGGTTGTGAGAGTGGTCCAGCATTTCTGTGTCTCAAATAATATGCTGTGTCCAGGTTGGTTCATCAGGTGCTCTGCTATGGCTGGCTTCTCTGGTTGAAGTAGTCTGCAGTACCTTTCATGTTCCTGGATTCTAGTTTGGGCACTGCGTTTGGTGGTCCCTATGTAGACTTGTCCACAGCTGCATGGTACAGTAGACTCCTGCAGAAGTGAGAGGATCCCTCTTGTCCTTTGCTGAACGTAGCATTTGTTGGATTTTCTTGGTGGGTCTGTAGATAGTTTGTATGTTGTGTTTCCTCAGCTTCCCTATGCAGTCAGTGGTTCCCTTGATGTATGGCAAGAACACTTTTCCTCTGGGTGGATCTTCATCTTTACTCTCGTGGCTTGTTCTTGGTCTTGCAGCTCTTCTGATGTCTGAGGTGGAGTATCCATTGGCCTGGAGAGCCCAGTTGAGGTGGTTCAGTTCATCTTGGAGGAGGTGGGGTTTGCAGATTCTTTTTGTCCACATGCTTGAAATTGTGCACAAGCTATTGAAATCCACAAGCATATGGATGATTTCAACAGAAAGGAGAAAACCATGAAAATGAACAAAATCTGGCTACCAGCATTTTAAAAATCCTAAAAGCAGGACAGTAAATAAAGAACAACACTCCAAAAACAGGAGTTATTTACAGTCGTTCACCGCCCAAATTTGGCGGGGAAGTTTTCTAGAAATTTTGCAACTCTACTTGATCAGAGTGATTTCTTTATTGTGGACCATAGTTTGGTGATATTTTGTTTTCATTTTGTTTTTGTTTCAGTTTGGTCCATGGTAGTGTAGCTTCTCAGTAGCTGTTTGGAGTTGTTAAGATTAGTTTGATAGCCACCTCCTTGGTGCTAATGACACAGTGAGAAAAGGGATGTATGCTACATGGCTAATGGCACTAACATACTCTATTAAGTGATGAGAAACTAATGAGTCCATCTATCATTCTAATGAGGCCAGCTGAGCTGAACACTTTGCTACTGAAGAGGTCTTTCTTTTCAATGAGCTTTGTTCCAGCTGATAGTTGTTGTCATCATCATCATTGCATTATATCATTTAGACAACATCTGTGGCACATGGGACACTCTACAAAATCTGTAGCATGCCATCTCATAAGGTGAAGGTGAGACGCAAGAGAGAGGGTATGTAGATATTTAAAATATTTGATGAATAGAACAGGTGGCAAAGAAGGAGAAATGATCATGGATGAGGAACAAGGTGATTAAGGAAACTGGAAAAAAAAGGTAACACTTTTTAATACTAAAGTAGGCTAATTAAATGGAGTTGAAATGTAACAAAGTGTATTGTCTTCCACCCTCTTTAGGAAACAGATCTCATGACCTTTAACATCTCAATGCATCGATCCTGGTGGCGAGAACATGGACCAGGCTGCATACGAAGAGTGGTGCGTCCTTCAGCTCCTGGCATCTTAGAGGATTTTTCCTATGTCTCTGTGACAGGCTGCATCATGGACTTCCAGTACTTAGAGGTCATTCACAGTGCCATTCAAATACTACTCTCTGTAAGTACCTACCTGCTGATTAAGCAATTCCTAAGTTGCTTTGTTTGATGTAGGCCTTATCCATACTGATTCTTACTGATACTTATTTAATTCCTTTTAGCCTTTAGCCTACATTTATTTTAATTCAAGAAAAATCTAAAATAAATAAAGCATGCTTAGAATCTGTCATAGTTGAAATGTATATAAAAGACTATTTTGCATACATAGTTTTGATACTGAAAGTATTCTAAACAATTATACCAATATTTCAACGTAATTCCATAATGTGTCTACAAATTCCATCTACCTTGTTGTTCCTTTCCTTTTGTGGTAACATATTTTCAGGTTGGTTATACAAAAAGGAAAAGAGATGTGCAATAGAGCCTCACTTATCCAACATAAACAGGCCAGCACAATGTTGGATAAGTGATTATGTTGGATAATAAGAAAGGATTAAGGAAAAGTCTATTGAATGTCAAATTATATTATGATTTTACAAATTGAGCACCAAAACATCATTTTTTACAACAAATTGACAGAAAAAGCATTTCAATATACGGTAAAGTTATGTAGTATTTACGAATTCAGCACCAAAACATTGCAATGTATTGAAACTGTTGTGGATCTAGGTAGGAGGCAGACTGCGTTGGATAATACAGAATGTTGGATGAATGAAGGTTGGATAAGCAAGACTAGTGTACTCAAATTATTTACATTCCCTGTAGTTATATGATCAGTATTTGGGAGCAGATGTATTTTCCTATTCATTTTATCTCTCAGTGCTAAAGTTGTCTTTTGGCTCCTAATAGTCTATATGCCTTTTTAAATGTACATGCTTCCTATTCCAGATTTTGAATGTTTCAGGAAACCTTATTTTGCCTTGAGAGCAAATGTAAATTAATCAGTGGGTGACACTGCAGAACTTGCACATGACTGTCTGTGCATGAAATGTACATGTACAACTACTTAATTTCTTATCCATTCCTGCAAACTGATATGCTGTCATCCATCTACTGAAGTTCAAATACAGTTGTTTTATATATGTCCATCACCCTTTGACACATCAAAATTAGTTTCATTAAAAATTGTAGGCAGCAGTTCCAAGAATAAACCTTTAATTAAGAATGGAAAAGAAAAACTTTCAACAGCTGTAGTGAATCCTTCTGTGGAAGATCTAACATAATTTAACTAGTGAAACCTGGCATGTATGAAAGCAATAACAAAATGAAGTTTGAAGATAATTATGAGTTTGTAGTGGTATTGCTCACCAACTGAGATTTTACATCTTATGGGGTACTACCATATCTTCATGTTCCTCACCATATACACATATCTTGAATATACTTTTATAAGAAAATTTTAATTTTGTGTATGAAACAAAGTTTGTACATTAAGATATCAAAAAGCAAAGGCTATCTGACCACTGTGGCAACAGGATGTTGTATTTGGTTCTTTACATCTTCATATTTTCTTGTATATTCAACATAGTTTGATTTCTATTTGTGGTAAATTAATATTTGAATAAAGAATGCATTATATTCTTCCATTTATTTTTGTGTTTGTAATTTTTCTCTAGGTAGTACTTAAAAAAATATAGTTAAGACTGTCTGTGGAAACAAAAAAAATGTGAACAAATAATTTTATAAAATGAAGCGATTGTCAATGAGATCATATAAGGCACTATAACCGAATGTTAACATGATTGGAAACAAATGTGATGAGATATATCAGCATGCAAATGTTCTCACACACAATATTTTGCATATAGCTTAATCTTAAATGGGTACAGTAAATTATGTCATTAGAATATACCAGAGCCCCTGGTGGCGCAATGGGTTAAACCACTTTGCTGCTGAACTTGCTGTCCAAAAGGTCACCAGTTCAAATCCAGGAAGCGGGGGTGAGCTCCTGCTGTTAGCCCCATCTGGGAGCAGGGTGAGCTCCCTCTTTTAGTCCCATCTTCAAACCACCAACCTTTCAATCAGCAAGTTCAGCAGCTCAATAGTTTAACCCACTGCACCATTGGGGGCTCCTGAGATTAAATACAGGAATACAATTCTCAAGAAATAAGTATATTTGGAACATATTTCCATGTTTTGTGGACCAACAATTGGATCTGCTAAGTGGTCAGTTAATCTTTTATTTAAAAACCATAATCAAAACAAAACAGAAACCCATATAATGTAGGCTAACAACACTGTTTAAAATGCAAAAATACTATAAGCCAGCACCTGACCGCAAGATATTATGATAAGACTATGGAGTCCAGAAAAGTGTATACATTTTGGAGAGCCGAGCTCAATAGGGGGCAGTAAAGGGAAAGAAGAAGTAAAAGCCAACTGAATCCATCAAACTAACAGCGAAATGAAAGCTATCTCTTATAAATCCAGGTTATTTAAAAAATTTAAATAATCCCAAATTAATGTTCGGGACCTGAAATAAATTAATCTATCATACCCAATTCTAAAACCAATTTTAAAAGCTCGCAATAATGAAATAAAATACTTGTTTAACACAGCAATACCAACTTTACTACTCCTTTCCAAGACATTCAAATGTTCTAATAAACACATACAAGTTTGGCCCATTGACATAAATAGTAATCCAATTGATCTCTTCTTCTTTTAGCCAGTGCATCATCACTTACCTCTATGCCGTCCCCTTGATTTCATTAATGATTTCTTTCCCACTGTTTTCAAACATCTGCCAAGCACTGATTATTTAACATGAATATGAGCAATGACATTTTGTGGTCTGAAATACTGTTTCATCAAAGAGAATGAATAATTTAATTAGCAACCATTTAATTAGCCAGCTTTAATAACAGCAGCTGTTAAATGAGGAACATGTGAATTGAAACTAGAAGATTTTCTATCATCTGAAGAGGAAGCACTTTAGTATATTAGAAAGCATTCCAAATTTGCCATCACTTTTTTACCCAGTGACTTTTAATAAAATTAAAGGTCCAGTTTCATCTATATATAGAGAATCATGTTTTTCCCTGCTGTATACCAACACTGGAATCTGAATGGTGGTTGGCATTGGTGTTTTCAGGAATAAAGATTGGCCAACTGACTTTGCTTTAGTTTGGATCACTACCCTATAATCCTTACATATCACCTGTCACTTCAGCACTTTTAATCTGTACCCATTACTCTGGCTGTTGCAGGGGTATGCAACTTCAGTTGATGGCAAGGGGGGACAGTGGCCCCTATAAAGAGTACTGTATCCTGTTCTGAAATCTTCACAAAAGATTGCTCCAAATGTCTTCCATTGGGCATTAGAGCAATTTCTCCATGACATCAAGGCCCCCTTGCGATGTTTAAGGCTCAGGAGAAGCTGTCATTTATTTATTCATTTGATGTTTGGGGAAAAAGTCTATCCAGAGAGTACAAAAATGTTCTCAAGGCACGTGGCTTGTGGACTGCATTTTCTCAACCATTATTTAAAAACATCAAAGAAAAAGTATTTGGGTAACTCATACTGTTAGGAACCTCATTCTAGTATTCAGCTGAAATCTCCCTTTTTTGTAATGTGAATCAATTCATCAATTTTATTTATTTATTTATTTACAGCATCTCTACCCTGCCTTTCTCCACCCCAGAGAGCACTCAAGGCAGCTTTACACATAGGCAATTATTCGATGCCATAAAACAATGTACAATTAAAATAAACATTTAAATGGAATTATAAAATACATTATAACAATTAAAAACATTTAAGACAATACCTTCACAATTAATCATGTAATCCTCAAGCGTAATCTGGGCCATTCCAATAGACACTGCACATCATTCCATATCTATCTATTTCACAAGCTCTCCAAAGGCTTAGTAACAAAGCTACATTTTCACTCTCTTACGGAAGGTCAGGAGGGAGGAGGCTGATCTAATATCCCTGGGGAGGGAATTCCACAGCCACCACTGAGAGGCCCTGTCTCTCGTCCCTGCCAATTGCGCCTGCGAAGGAGGCAGGACCGAGAGCAGGGCCTCCCCAGATAATCTCCAAGATGGTTCACCCATTATTATTATTATTATTATTATTATTATTATTATTATTATTATTATTATTATTATTATTGTCATTACATATATTTCTATCCCGCCCTTCTCCCCACAAGGGGATTCAGGGCAGCCTTATATAAGCATCCAATGATGCAATCTACATATACAAAAAATACAATGAAAACGCTAAAAATGCATTTAAAAACATTATCCAGTTTCAACAATAAATTCCATAGAACAACAAAAAAACCCATAGAGCAACAAAAAAAGTTCACTTTATCTTCCATGTAACAGGTGTTCAGATATTTAAAATGTATTTTTCATGGCTCTTCTTTCCATGTTGACATCATTAACTTTATCAGTGTTTTTTTTTATAAGGGTTGATTTTTAAAGAAATTATTATTATTGTGTGCCTTAAAGTTGTTGCCAAAAGCAAACTTAACATGGTGGTTTCTATATAAGGTTTATTCATATCCTGGGGTTTGCATTCTGCTGATCACTCTGGCTGGGAAGTATAAATTCCCTTTCCTGAACTGCAAATCCCATGGAATGAAACCATGACCAGTAACAAAATGGAATAATAGCACTATAAGCTCATTATGGGAGCCGGTGGTGCAGTGGGTTAAACCTCTGAGCTGCTGAACTTGTTGTCTGAAAGGTCGCAGGTTCAAATCCAGGGAGCAGCGTGATCTCCCACTGTTAGCCCCAGCTTCTGGCAACCTAGCAGTTCGAAAACATGCAAATGTGAGTAAATTAATAGGTACTGCTCCGACAGGAAGGTAATGGCACTCCATGCAGTCATGCCGGCCATATGACCTTGGAGGTGTCTATGGACAATGCCAGTTCTTCGGCTTAGAAATGGAGATGAGCACCAACCCCCAGTCAGACACGACTGGACTTAATGTTAGGGGAAAACCTTTACCTTTACCTAAGCACATTATGTGATTGGGCTACCATCTACTCCTCAATAATAAGATACATTGTATGAGAATTTAAATTATATAATTTATTTATGAA